GGAAGTGTATAGTATTATATCTGATCACTGTATTAGTGTCGCTATTCATGTCAGTGTACCTCCCAGCAAGGATCTGTTAGTGCCAGATTGCCCGTCACATTATCACAGTCCCACTATAAGTCGCTGATCACTACCATTACCAGTATAGCATAATAGCTGCGTAAATTCCAGTATTTATACCATAGTTTGTAGATGCTATAACTTTCACACTAACCAATTAAAATGCACTTATTTAGATTTTTTTTTTTTTTTTTTTTCCAAAGACATGTAGCAGAATACATTTTGGCCTAAATTTATGAAGAGATGTGATATTTTTTATTTTATTGGACATGTTTTATAACAAAGTTGAGAATATTGGGTGGTTTTTTTTTTTTTGTTTTTTTTTGAGTGTAAAAAAAGATATAAATGTAATTTGGGTACAGTGTTGCATGTCGGAGTAATTGCCAGTTAAAATAGCGCAGTGCTGGAAAACAAAAAAATGTCTTGGTCATGAAGGGGGTAAAACCTTCCTGAGGTCAAGTGGTAAAGCAGTATTATACCCAAAAGTAAATATTTATTATATTGCAGCTTACCAATTCTTAGATGTGGTGGCTGCATTGATTTTCTTTTTTGGGCTTGCTTTTTTTTTCTTATTTCATCAGGTAATCGTGCCAGTAGGTCTGTTGTTTTTCAACAGATCAAGACAGTTTTTCTCAACCCTTTTTCAGTCATGGCACCCTTTAAAATTATGGACAATTTCAAGGCACCCTATAGATAGTCTTGAGACACCCCATTCTAAAATGTAAAAACCTATTCTAATAGTTTCATATAACACAGCAACATCCACACACTTAGGACACCCAACATTAGAGGTGATTTATTCTTCCAAAGCAAATGCACTTTTGCACACTGATGCTGACTAGTATTCTAGTGTTTCTCTTCTCCCTCAGTTTTTCTCCATCACTGAGCTAATGTGACCCCAGCACTGATGGAGGGGGGGGGAGGGGGGGCAAACAAGGATGCTGTGCAGGCAACCAACATCCCCCTTATCAACTGATGCCATTGGTTGTCAGGATGCACAGTGGCTAGAAGGTCATAATGGTGCACAATGAAAACCTGTGGCTTTGTGTAACTAAAAGGCAGGCTTGTTCCACCCGCTGACTTGTATACAAGTTTTGGGCAATTTTTAGACATTTTGCCAAGGCACCCCTGAGGAAATCTCAAGGTCCCCAGGGTGCCAAGGCACCCTCGTTGAAAAATGCTGGATCAAGCTGTCCTGCAGATGTAACAATTAGAGAATTGAGACAAACCGTTTAACACTGACAGGTGCTTTCAATTATCAGCTTTTATTTATTTATACACAACCTTTATCCCTAAAGGAAAAAAAAACGGTTACTGTAACTGCTTAAAAATGGTAGCTTCAATTTGTTAGTATATTTAAATATGCTAGTACATCTAACACCTCCTCCCAGACTGACAATGCTGCTGTCCAATGGGATCTCTGTGCTGATTCATCCAGAGTGGGGGTACTTTACTACAGGATGTATATTACTGGCCAGATCACTGGGTGAAAACAGAGAAGAAGAGGCTAAAAAAGAAAACTAATTCAGCTACCACATCTGAAGATTGGTAATCAGCAATATATTACATCTTGGTTTTGGCTTTAATACCACTTTTACCTATTGTACACAGGACCTCGGTTTTCTTATTTCGGGCAGATTTCAACAACATGAATAAGCCTCATGAAAAAGTTGAGTAAACATTTTATGAACCAATTGCCACTTTCAGAGTACACAATGATGTTAAAAGGAAAAATATCCAGTCAGGCAAAGTCCTAGCATTCACTTGGGAATTTTTTCAGTCACCTTCAATCACAGTTTTTATTGTGTACTTTAGGCATAATTCATGTATTTTCAGGCACAGGATCAAACTTGTTAATAGAAATTATAGTGAGGAATGAGTGCCATGGATCTTTAACACATCTTCTGTATTGCCAGCAACAGGTTGATTGTATGCAGCAACTGTTCAGCCAATAATTTTCAGTCGTAGAATATTGGGTAGGAGGGGGCCAACAGGGTCACCCATGTAGTAAATTTCGGACAGTTCATCAGGAAATGTCCGAAATTCACATAGTGTATGGCCAGCTTAATTCAATGACCTGGAGCAAGTATTAATATCAGGAAAGAAAGAAGTGAAAAGTTCTTAGTTACATACTTGGTCTGGGTCAGCAACTCAAAGTACTGAAGCTAGATGGATTAGCATTACAGCTAAATGGTAAATACATTTACAGAATGAGAAGTCAGCAGAATGCATGTTTGCCTCAGGAAAGGTTTCCTTTAATATTCCATAAGGACAAATAGAATATGCTGATATGGAATGGGTAATGTGTCAGGAACATAAGGATGCCCCATCGTTGAATGGAAATGAAACTTGGCAACCTACAGAGGACTGAATTCAAAGACACCCCTAAAAGCAAAGTGAAAAAATTATGCAGCAGGCTAGTCCATTTTGCTGAAATTTCATTGCAGCAACTCAAAATGGTACTCAGTAGTTTGTATGACCCACACGTGCTTGTATGCATGCCTGACCACATCGGGGCATGCTCCTAATGAGACAACAGATGGTGTCCTGGGGTTTTTCCTCCCAGATCTGGACCAGGGCATCATTAAGCTCATGGACAGTCTGAGTTGCTGTCTGACCGCATCAAATGACATGATATCCCAGAGGTATTCTATTGGATTTAGGTCAGGCAAGCATGGGGGCCATTCATTGGTATCAACTCCTTCATCCTCCAGAAACTGCTTGCATACTCTCACCATGAGGCCGGGCATTGTTGTGCACCAGGAGGAACCCAGGACCCACTGCACCATCGTAGGGTCTGACAATGGGTCCAAGGATTTCATCCCAATACCTAATGGCAGTCAGGGTGCCATTGTCTAGCCCAAGGGTATCCAAACTATGGCCTTCCAGGTGTTGAGGAACTGCAAGTCCCATGAGGCATTGCAAGACTGACAGCCACAGGCAAGACTCCCAGAGGCATGATGGGACTTGTAGTACTTCAACAGCTGGAGGGCCATAGTTTGGAAACCCCTGGTCTAGCTTGTAGAGGTCTGTGCGTCCCTCAATGGATATGCCTCCGCAGACCATCACTGACCCACCACCAAAACGGTCATGCTGAAGGATGTTACAGGTGGAATAGCGTTCTCCATGGCTTTTCCTGACTTTTTCATGTCTGTCATGTGCTCAGAGTGAACCTGCTCTCAACAGGGCACCAGTGGCGGACATGCCAATTCTGGTGTTTGCTCTATGGTGCCGGGCGGTGAGCACAGGACCCACTAGGGGACATCGGGCCCTCTGGCTACCTTCATGAAGTCTGTTTCTGATTGTTTGGTCAGAGACATTCACACTAATGGCCTGCTGGAGGTCATTTTGTAGGGCTCTGGCAGTGATCATCCTGTTCCTCCTTGCACTAAGGAGCAAATACCGGTCCTGCTGATGAGTTGAGGACCTTCTACGGCCCTGTCTATCTCTCCTAGAGTAACTGCTTGTCTTCTGGAATCTCCTCCATGCTCTTGAGACTGTGCTAGGAGACACCGCAAACCTTCTGGAAATGGCACGTATTGCTGTGCCATCCTGGAGGAGTTTGACTGCCTGTGAAACTTCTGTAGGGTCCAGATATTGCCTCATGCTACCAGTAGTGACACTGACCCTAGCCAAATGCAAAACTAGTGAAAAACAGAAAAGATGAGTAGGGAAAAAATTGTCAGTGAGTGGCCTCCACCTGTAAAGCCATTCCTGTTTTGGGGGTCATCTCATTGTTGCCCATCTAGTGCACCTGTTAATTTTATTAACTCCAAAGCAGCTGAAACTGATTAACAACCCCCTCTCCTACTTAACTGACGAGATCAATATCCCAGGAGTTTAATTGACTTGATGCTATACTCTGATTAAAAAGTGCTCCTTTAATTTTTACTTCGCCCCTGTCGATAACCAAGCAGTTTGTAATGTATTATTGATCACTCTACTGTCTATATGACAAAAATGAACTGCCTGGTGAACCTGTGTTTTTTGCGGGCCTATACACATGAAAGTATCAGAGTGACTTGGTTCATCATGTAGTCTACATGCATTTTGTCTGCAGGGTGAGAAGTTGCTTGCTCCCAGTGAAATTTAGTCATGTAGTTGTATTCTTGCAAGGACTGATGAATTCCCATTAGTTTTTAATAATTAGACCAGAATTGTGTTTAAATGACATTTTCACTGTCTTGAAGAATTCCAAAGCCATTTATAACCATCCTAACTGTTTGGAATTCACTCTATAAAGTTTTTTTTTTTTTCTGGTAAAATGCCTCAAATTGCTACATTTGATGATCAACTGTCTTAAAGACGGAATTTTCCATGTAGGCAGGAGCAGCAAGGGGAGGAGGATGGCAGAAGAGCTTCACAAAGCTGATCTCAGCACTACTGCAAATGCATAACATATTTACACATAGCCTGACACCCCTTTACTCTTAACGAAAAATGTAATTGTTTTTTAAGTGGATGCATTTGATACCCAAGGTTTATTTGTCTGTAGATACTGAAATGTCTATATTTGATACAATATTTAATATACAAGTGTTGCATATTCAAAGAACAATGGAAGAGCTTTGAATCTTGTACGGCTGTTCTGGAATATGTAAATAAAGGAAATATTTAAGTCCCTCTGCCCATCTGTTAGCAATCTGACTTTTTGTCAAGCCTTTCCTTGCATATGTACAAAGTGCTAGCAATTCCCATTGCTTGTCAGTCAGGGGAAACTGATGAGCCCTTCATATCCTTTCCTGCTTTGGCGTCTCAAAAGCATCGGCATGCAAAATGCTAAACAGGCCTTCGCAGCGATCACCCAGGGCACTTCCTGAGCATAGTGCGAACATGTTTTACTAGAGTTCGTTTTTTAGTTCTGTCACACACGCTGTTGTATGTACAATTTCCCTTTGCGGATAGAACAGCTGATTAATCAATTCAAATTTTTCTTACAGTGGAAACTGCCAATCATACCATCCACGGGCTCCAGCAGCGAGAGCAGGAACATGCAAAGGTAAACACTGATCACAACACATTCCTAATGTTACTCTGAGACTTCCAAGAACTGGAATCTCAAAACTTCCAAGAACTGGAATCTTGGAATACCTATAGAAGATGGAAACTTTGGGGCAGCTGGTACATTCTGCAGAATTCACAAATGTCAGAACCAAAGAAGCTGTTTTAGTTAAAGCTTAAGTGCAGCCAAGGAAAAAAAGGGATGTAACTTATAGTTAGTTGAATGTGTCTCTTGTGCTGATGCCTCTTTTAGTTGAAATCCTAAAGTCCATGTCCCCACCCCTGCAATCTTCTGGTGTTGTGGGATGTTAATTTAATTAAGGAGTTGTCACAGGCTGTCCTCAAGAGAACCTGTCTAGGACCCGCCTTTCTGCCAGCTACTACATTCATAGAGGGCGTACTGCAGCTTCTGTAATTGAAACAAGATCTAAAAATGGAGGACTGGTGGAGAATAGATCCGCCTCCTCCATTCATAGTTCAGGGTTCATTCATAGAAGCTAGAGTACAGCTTCTATGAATAACGGAGCTGGGTGGAAATGGCAGTCATAGTTGGGGGTCTCTTGATGAGAGTATGTGATAGCCCCTTTGATGTAATAATCCCCTCTGCAAGGAGGATTACGATGGTGGAGGTGTGGGGGTATGGATGGAGAAATATGTCAACTGAAAGATGAGGCATCAGCACAAGAGACACATCCTACTAACTGCAAGCTATATGTCTTGCGTTGAACTTACTGGGTTTTTTTTATTTTGGCTGCATTTTAAAATGACTTCCAAAAGTGTGGCACCTTTTCAGTTTAAGACATATACTTAAGGCAATACAAACAGCAATGATGTGCAGCCTTTAGCAACTAACCACATCATAGCTGTATCCATTTATAGCAACCAGAACATGAAAGATGAGTTTTGATTGATTACTAAGAGTTGCTTGATTTTGTGCATTGCTTTGACTTTAGAAAGCCAAAAAACTCACTTCTTACAAGTTGTGTGTTTAAAACTGGTTTATTTATTAATTAATTTGCATTTAAAAATTAATTCCAGCCAAACCCTTTTTTCTCTTTTTAGCTTTGGACACACTTAAGTATAAATGCCAAAATTTTTATTGCTGGGGAGATTTCACTTCCTTTTCCTGTGACAGGAGGACACGAAATAAAGGGGGTGGTTGCCACTGGGATGGGAAGACACAAACCGTAAAAACATGATATAGGTTCTATCTTTCTCTCAGTTTACTGAAAGAATGTATTTTTTTTTTTTTTGCCGCTTGTGTCCCTACTGGAGAGATTTCCTATCACTTGTACGGAGACTGACAAAAACTGACACGGGTTTTATTCTTCTTCCCCTACTCTGACCAAATCGAAAGGATATTAAACGCTTCCCGACCGCACTATAGCAGAATTACTACAGGGCGGAAAGGCTGTGCAAAATCATGTGTGTATATATACATGATTTTGCATTTCCAGGTAGGGGGCGCACACACTGCCCTACCCGCACCGCCATTGACAGCTACAGCTGTCGATCACCGGGTCCCGGCCAGTGATGCCCCACCTGCACCCGGTTATCACCGGTGATATGCAAACAACACAGACCTCTCCCCTGTCAGCACCAGCATGCTGCTTTGTATTGCTCTGCATAACGTAGCGCCGTATCACAAAAAATGGCCTGGTCAGGAAGGGGGGGGGGGGTAAATCATCTGGCGGGCGAATGGTTAAAGGGTTTTTTTTTTTTTTTTTTTCGTTTCAATAAAAATTATGTTATACTTGCCCTGCTGTGTGCCTATGGCTCCCACTGACCTCAGTGTCTCCTGTGAGACCAATACGTGAGAGGAGCAGTGCTGCAGCCAAGACAGCACTGGAGTGCTGACAGGAGACAGGTAAGTGTTTAGGAATAGGACTGGGCAGGACAAGTAGTGGAGCATTTTTAACTTTAATACAGAGAATGTATTAATGTAAAAAATGTAGACTTTAGAACCACTTTAAGATCACTTTATTGCTCAGTGTAAAGCTGGCCATAGATGGTTCATTTTTCACGGGTTTCAGGAAAGAAAATCGCTGTCTGGGTTGATGGGGGAAACCTAGCTAATGCGTTCTCCAGGAAGGGAGGGGGCATGAGGGGAGCTGTCCCTGCCAGGAAAACACAGTGATTTCTGCTAATGGCTGTAGCCCCTGGCAATAATCGCATGAAAAGTCCCAGGCTGGTTGTATCCAAAATGATTGTTGTCCGACTTGGGTACAATCAACCTGTCCATAGATGTTTTGAATCTCGCCCCGTCCCTACTGAACTTGCTGAGATTCAAACCATCTATGGCCGGAGAAAGTCAGTAGCAAATGGCCTAGAGTGAAAAGCTGATTTTCTTTAGGAGTATAGTATTGTTCTTAGGTTAGGATGCATACTGAGTGCACATTTACATGTTTTAGCAATTTTAAAGCACTTTGTACTTTAGATGGCTTAATTTTCCACACACTCCCAGTGTTTGCTTATGTTGCAAGTTTTTTTTTTCTTTTCAAGGTTTTGTAAAGGAAAAAAAGCACTTTTATTATACAAAAATCCCATAGTGGAAAGGTAAAGGTTACAGCTGTTGCTCTTTTATACCTCAGACATGTTGTCGATTAAGTCTTCTTATGGAGTGGCTTTTCATCATGACATGCTGAGAGAGCTTGTGAATCACTGAAGTGTACTATTAACTTGTTAGAGTGGCCTGTGGAACATACCGGCTTTTATGAGTGTGCTGTGTATACTGTATAAGTCTATAGAGGAGTTGTTCTTAAAGTGACCCTATCAGCAATAAAAGCTATTTTAGCCAGCAGTATTCTGTAACATAAGTTGCATACATGCAGAGAGGCGAGTGAAACTGTGCTGTGGTTACGCTATGAGGAACCACAATTCCCAGAAGGGAACATGCTATCTGACACACCTGGAATCTGTTTTGTGTTTTTGGTGGAAGCTGATGGTCTTGCCTGTTTGAATTGAATTTTGCTGTGCCTGCACGTCCCGAAGTCTGTTTTTGCACATGCATCACTCCATCGTTAGGAGGTTACTGCACTTGCATGCCATGTCTCATCCTCTTTGGAATCTGGACAGTGGCCAAGCAACATCTCCTGATTCTCCTACCATTGTAGAAGTGTATGCATGCAGTTCCAAGGTTACAGCAGCATGCAGGTGCTTGCACCAAGGCCTCCCTTCCTACTTCGCTGCTGTGGAGGTCATGAGGGCATGGTTTACCATGAGTGCAGAGATAAGGGGTCATATGGGCCCAATAGCTCAGCCTTTAGTTCCCTTAAGGGGTTGTATATCTCTGCAGGGCCCTAGTTCCCTCTCCTCTGATGGTTGCCTTCATTCTGACTCATTCATCATGTTGGCTACACCAGCCTCATCCTCCCTTTTTTCTAGAGGAATTTTCTGACACAATGTTGGAATTCATTGACAGAATTTTAGACCTTGTTTAGACCCCAGATAGTAGGGGTTGCAGCCCAACCTCTCCTCCTGAATTGGTATTTGTCTTTGCCATAGAGCCTTTCAATGTGCAAGATGAAGAGGTGTCCATTGAGGAGGATGCCACATTCATGGAAAGTTCTCATGACATATGCCAACCTGTTGGGCTGAGGAGCAGTCCCAAATACCTTGTTGTCAGAGAAAGCTACACTTTCGATCAAAATTACGGAACTTCAGTGCTGGACTCCTATTAGGAGGATACCCAACATCAATCATCAAGGAGGCATCCGGAGTTAACATCGCTCTTAATGAACCTGACTTAAACCTCTCTTGGTTGGCTCATGTTACGGCCCTGTCAGCTGTCCACATCCCAGGCATGAAAATTTAGCAGGTGGGCTTTTGAAATCATCTGTATCCTCAGGAATGGACTCTCCATCCAAAAGTCTTTCAAGCCATTTGCCACAGGTGGGGAAATGCCAAATGTGGACCTCTTTGCCTCCAATTTCAACAACACACTAGACTGATTTGTTTTAGGTCCAGGGACCCTCTGGGTTTTGCACTAAACACTGTGGGATCAGTTCAGCCTGGTCTATGCCTTTCCGCCCCTCCAAATTCTTCACATGCCCTGCAGGATCAACATGGAAGGCATTCCAGTAATTCTTGTCGTACTGAAATGGCCCAGGAGGATGTGGTACTCCAGCATACTCAAGCTTGTCACAGATGCTTTGTGAGCTCTTCTGGATTGTCTGGACTGCCTGTCACAAGGGTCAGTGTTCTATCCTGCTTCTCGATCACTGGCTTTAATGGCATGGCTAAAGCCATGGTTCTCAAGAGCAGGGACCTTTCAGACTTAAGTCATCCCTACCCTCTTGAAGGCTAGGATGTTGACTGCTCTTAAAGTCTACCATCTAACCTGGAAGGCATATTTTGCTTGGTGTAAGTCAATACATTTTCATTCTATAAAGTACTCTATGAGATGTATTCTGTCCTTCCTTCAGTCTGGTCTGGACCAAAATGTGTCTTGAGTACCATTATGGAATAAATCTTGGCCCCTAATGGTTGTTACAGTATATATATATTTTATCTTCTCATTTTATTGCATTTCATTAATTTCAATACACTTGTACACAGACATTATTATTTTTGCATTTACTATGGTTTTTAATAATTTTTAGTATCTCACCTCATCGTGACCACTATGCATGGAAATGCTCAAGTATATACTGTCTTTAGCTATACACAGTACTTAAAGTTACATATACATTATCTATTCCATTTTATGATATTTGCATTATTTACTACTTTGAACTTTGCAATTGATGCACCTGTCTGCTCTTATTCTTTTTTTAGAGACCTATGGCCCCTCACCTTCTAGTCAAAGCCTTATGGGGGGTAGCTTACCTCTCTCTCCCTGTTTCACCCAGGGATCTTAATTTGGTTCTCTCATCTCATCAGAAGTCTCCCTTTGAACCTATTAGAGATATTCCCTTGCCTGATTTTACCAGTAGGGTGGCCTTTCTTGTGGCTACCTCTGCAAGGAGAGTCTGAGTTAACAGTCTTGTCTTAGTGTTG